CTTGAAATCAAGAACTTGAAACATTAAAAATTTAGAAACTTAAAACCGAAGAAACGAAATATTGTAAAATCGAAATTTTGAAAATTAAAGAAATCGGAAAATCGGATAATTCAGAAACCCGAAAATTGCAAAACTGAAAAATTATAAAATCGAAAGACGCATTGAAAAAATAAAAGAAATGAAAAAACGAAAAATTGTGAAATCGAGAAAATGAAAATATAAAAATCAAAAATCTGAAAAATTGAGGAAACAAAAAAGTTAAAAATCGGGAAATTAAAAATTGACAAACTGAAAAATAAAATATTAAAAATTTATCATAATGAATACAGGAAAAATGATAAAATCCAATGAAACCTTGAAAAAATAAAGGAAAAGAAAAAACGGAAAATTGTGATTTAAAATCGAGAAAATGAAAAATAAAAATCAAGAATCTGAAAAATTGAGGAAACGAAAAATTGAAAAATCGGAAAATTAAAAATTGAGAAAATTGTTAAATCAAAATATTGAAAATTAAAGAAACCAGAAAAGCTGGCAAATGGAAATTAAAAAATTGCAAAATGAAATAATTTTAAAATTGGAAAAACGAGGAACTAAAAATTTGAATAAACGCAGTTTTGTAATTATTATTTTTTCCACTTTCATTTTTTCAGTTTTTCATGATTGATTTCCAAAATTTTCAATTTTTCGATGTTACAATTTTTCATTTTTTTTTTTTTTATTTTTCAGTTTCTCAATTTTGAAGTTTTCGATTTTTCAGTGTCAGAGTTTTTAGACTATAGATTTTTCAATTTTTGGCTTTTCAAATTTTTCGATTCGATTCCTATTTTCTTGTTTCCAATTTTTCTGTTCATTAATTTTTTCTATAATTTTTGGTTTGTCCAGTTGTTCGATAGCAATTTTTCGATTTTCCATTTTTTCAGTTTCGAAATTTTTCGTTTTTTCAGGTTTTTTCCGATTTTTAACTTTTCGAATCAAAAGAATGGGAAAATTTCAAAACTGTAAAATTGGAAAAGTATAAAATGAAAACTTGAAATCAAGAACTTGAAAAATTAAAAATTGGGAAACTTAAAAACCGAAAAAACGAAATATTGTAAAAACGAAATATTGTAAAATCGAAATTTTGAAAATTAAAGAAATCGGAAAATCGGATAATAAAATTTATCGTAATGAATACAGGAAAAATGATAAAATCCAATGAAACATTGAAAAAATAAAGAAAATGAAAAAACGGAAAACTGTGATTTAAAATCGGAAAAACGAAAAATCGGAAAATTGAAAATTGAGAAAACTGGAAAATCAAAAAATGAAAAATTGTAATAATCGATAAATTGCTAAATTGAAAAATGGCAAATCGAAAAATTGAAAAGTTTGGAGAAATTGAAAAACATTTTCAATTTGCTCCGTTTTTCAATTTTTCGATTTTTCACCTTTTCGAATTAACGAAATGGAAAAACTGCAAAAGTGTAAAATTGAAAAATCCAAAATGAAAAAACGAAAAATCGAAAAATGAAAATATTAAAAAATCTAAAAATGGAAATCAAGAACATGAAAAACTTAAGAAACGAAAACTTAAAAAAACGAAGGATCAAAAATTGAGAAACCTAGAAAACGAAAAAACAAAGTCGAAAAAACGAAAATGTATTGTTAAATCGAAATCTTGAAAATTGAAGAATTAAAAGATTGGAAAATCGAGCAACTGAAAAATCAAAGATTGAAAGTTTATATAATAGATACAGAAAAAATCATGAAATCGAAAGCAACATTGAAACCTCCAAAAAATTGAAAAATCAGAAAATTAAAAATTGAGAAACTGGAAAATCGAAAATACGAAATATTGAAAAATCGAAATATTGACAATTAAAGAAATCGGAAAATAAAAAAAAACGGAAAATTGAAAAATTTAAAGATTGGAAAATCGAGCAACTGAAAAATCAAAGATAGAAAATTTGTAACAATGAATACAGGAAAAATGTTAAAATCGAATGAAACATTAAAAAAATAAAGGAAATGAAAAAACGAAAAACTGATTCAAAATCGGAAAAATGAAAAATAAAAATTAAGAATCTGAAAAACTGAGGAAACGAAAAATCGGAAAACTAAAAATTGAGAAAACTGGAAAATCGAAAAATGAAAAATTGTAATTATCAAAAAATTGTAAAGTTTGGAGAAATTGAAAAACATTTTTCAATTTGTTCCGTTTTCCAGTTTTTCGATTTTTCATCTTTTTGAATTAACGAAATAAATTGAAAAATCCAAAATGAAAAAACGAAAAATCGCAAAATGAAAATTTTGAAAAATCTAAAAATGGAAATCAAGAACTTGATAAAATTGAAACGAAAAATTAAAAAATCGAAAAAACGAAATATGTGTTGTTAAATCAAAATATTGAAAATTAAAGAAAGCAGAAAATTAGATAAGTGGAAATCCAAAAATTACAAAATGGAATAATTTTAAAATTGGAAAAACGAAGAATTGAAAATTTGAATAAACGCACTTTTATAATTATTATTTTTTTCAACTTTCATTTGTTAAATTTTTCATGCTCGGCTTCTAAAATTTTCAATTTTTCGATGTTCCAATTTTTCATTTTTTTTTTTTATTTTCCAGTTTCTCAATTTTGAAGATTTCGATTTTTCACTGTCAGAGTTTTTAGACTTTACAGTTTTCAAATTTTTCGATTCGATTCCTATTTTCTTCTTTCCAATTTTTCTATCCATTAATTTTTTCTATAATTTTTGAATTGTCCAGTTGTTCGATATCAATTTTTCGATTTTCCATTGTTTCAGTTTCGAAATTTTTCGTTTTTTCAGGTTTTTTCCGATTTTTAACTTTTCGAATCAAAAGAATGGGAGAATTTGCAAAATTGTAAAATTGGAAAAGTATAAAATGAAAACTTGAAATCAAGAACTTGAAAAATTAAAAATTGGGAAACTTAAAAACCGAAAAAACGAAGTATTGTAAAATCGAAATTTTGAAAAAAAAAATAAAGGAAATGAAAAAACGGAAAACTGAGATTTAAAATCGGAAAACGGAAAACTGAGATTTAAAATCGGAAAATTGAAAAATAAAAATCAAGAATCTGAAAAATTGAGAAAACAAAAACTTGAAAATTCGGAAAATTAAAAATTGAGAAAACTGGAAAATCGAAAAATGAAAAATTGTAAATATCGAAAAATTGCAAAATTGAAAAACTGCAAATCAAAAAATTGAAAAATTTAGAGAAATCGAAAAACACTTTCAATTTGTTCCGTTTTCAATGTTTCGATTTTTCAACTTTTCGAATCAAAAATGAAAAAATTGCAAAAAGTGACATTGAAAAATATAAAATAAAAAATCGACAATTTTGAAAAATATAAAAGTGGAAATCAAGAACCTGAAAAACTGGGGAAACGAAAAATTCAAAAATCGAAAGATTAAAAATTGAGAAATTTTAAAAACGAAAAAACAGAAAATCGAAAAATGTATTGTTAAATCAAAATATCGGAAATTAAAGAAACCAGAAAATCAGATAAGTGGAAATCCAAAAATTGCAAAATGGAATAATTTTAAAATCGGAAAAGCGAGGAATTGAAAATTCAACTTTCATTTTTTCAATTTTTCATGCTCGACTTCCAAAATTTTCAATTTTTTGATGTTACAATTTTTCATTTTTTTTTTGTTTCAGTTTCTCAATTTTTAAGTTTTCGGTTTTTCAATAGACTTTCAAGTTTTGATAATGCTATAATTTTTGGATTTTTCAATTCGATTCCTATTTTCTTCTTTCCAATTTTTATATTCATTAATTTTTTCTATAATTTTTGGTGTCTTCAGTTGTTCGATATGCAAGTTTTCGATTTTCCATTTTTTCAGTTTCAAAATTTTTTGTTTTTTTCAGGATTTTTCCGATCTTTAACTTTTCGAATCAAAAGAACTGAAAAATTAAAAATTGAGAAACTTAAAAACCGAAAAAACGAAATATTGTAAGATCCAAATTTTGAAAATTAAAGAAATCGGAAAATCGGAAAATTCTGAAACCCAAAAATTGCAAAACTGAAAAATGGACAACTGAGTAGACGAAAAATTATAAAATCGAAAGACGCATTAAAAAAATAAAGGAAATGAAAAAACGAAAAACTGTAAAATCGAGAAAATGAAAATATAAAAATCAATAGCTTGAAAAACTTTAAAAATTAACCGATTTTTTACCCTTATAAGTTAAAATAAAGATATGTTAAAGTAAACTTTTTTTTTTAGTCACCCTGTATAAATAATTCTAAAAACTATAAACCACAAGTAGAGTCATACTATTTCAAAGATTTTTCAGCAAAATTTTGAGTTAACGTGATCAATTTTTGGATCGGAATAAACGTTAAATTTTGAAAAAATTACACAATTTTGATTTTTTTTTTTTTTTCGAAAATCTGGATGTCCTAGGTGAAAACTCAACAGTCATACTTCACAAGTGGAGGAATATCTTATTTTATAAAATTAAATACAAAATTTGCCAACAATTGGTCCAGTAGTTTGTGTGCCTAATAAAAATTGACAGACGACAGACAGACAGACAGGCGGAAACGGGGACCACTTTTTTCGTTCTCTGGAGATCACGAAAATTTTGTTCAAACCGGTGGCCAATATAACAGACGCTGTGTATGATTCAAATCATCAGCTCCCAGTGATCAAATAAATTGTTTGAAATTAGTAGCTTAAAATAACGTTGAATTGTTTACGTTTTGCGCAATACCGAAAATAATGCTTTCCCTGTACTAAGCCACTTCCACTTAGCGCTCCGTCCGCAATCGCGCTCACAACCTTTGTTATTGTAACAAGAAGCGCACAGATAACGTTATAACAGTATTGTGTGAAACCACCAAGTCATACTTTTCAATATGTGGTCTAAAAAGGATACCGAAAACCGCAACCAAACTCCGCCTGGATTCGCCCCTACTCGAAGGAGCGCCCTCCGTTTTTTGGAGCATGAATCTGGGGGCCCTCGCGGCCCTTTAGCGTATCAGGTGTACCTGCCGTGCTCATATTGTACAAATCTGTCGCACTTGAAATGGGGACTGATGGATAGGCTGTGTGAGCGGCCGAGTTCTGCTGCTGGGACCTCCATGGTTCAAATTCCTCCGAGCCGCTAGCGCCTTCTCCCGCTCCTAGCTGTTCTTTAGGGCCATTGGACACTACAAGTGGGGTTTTTTTGGCGTACTATCACTTATCGGGCCGATTCGGAAAAAAGTCTTACCTTGATTTCCCTGTCCTTTCATCCGCTGTGACATAACCGGCGCATGAAAGAGAAATTTGACGATTAATTGCCGTGTTCAACGAGGAATTTTAGCGAGGATTTGGTTGAGGATTGTTATCTCGGTAACTGTCAAAACGCTATTTTGATTTTTACCTGATCTGACACGCCTGCTGACATTGACTAGTCTGTTCTATTGTTTTTCGCACTTTAAAGTCAAACGAAAAATAACCCACACTATTGCACTAATTTTCCGATTTTTAGCCACTTACACTAAAAACTCCAGTTTAATGTTTATTTTAGTTCTTTTACAGAGGTATTTTTAGAAAATAGTCAATCCGTCCAACAATGGCGCTTAGTAACCGCGATTACTGCGCAGCGGCGTGCGCAGGCAATGGCGGACAGAGGGCGCCAAAATGACAACGCGCCAATTTCGAAATTTACCCAAAACAAAAAACACTAAATTTCGAGTTCCGAGACACGAACTAATTATTATTTCAGTTCTACGAAAAATCGGAGACAAAATGTTATTAAACTGGCCCCAGGACGTTTTCGCGAAACGTATTTTTAAACAGGACGACCATTGACAGCTTTATCGACCACAGTAACGACGTCCAGTAGCGAAACCAAAATCTTCAATTTTACAAAAATACAATCCCCAAAAAATGCAAGTTTGTGTCTTGTGTTTTCCTTGAGAACTCTGTTCCAAGTTTGTTACTGTCATTATTAAAAATATTCGCACTCTCATAACTCCACGTTAATACCTCTAATATGTTCTAATCAACGTAAACATGAGTTTCATTATGGTTGAATAGGCAACATACAATACACATTAACATGAGCAAAACGAAGAGTGGACAAATGAATATAGGTAATACGCGGTGATTAAAAAATAACATACAGTGTAACTTTCAAATTTGCTTTGACGTTTAAATGGATACCTATTCAAGTTACTCCAATTTACACAACTAAATTTATTGGAAAATATTTTTCTTAGAATTTTAGATTCTCAATTAAATTCACGTTAAAGCATATTAGAATGACGAAGTTAATATTTTCGAAACGTTGGTCCAGAAATTTTTTCTGACAATTTTGTCGACTTCTTCAGAGCCTTCTTAACAACATATCATCACACATATACCCATACGTCATTTTTATCATCCTGTATATTCTTACCTCTAGTAGGAGTACAGTAAAAGGGCGATAAAAAAGGCGAAAAAGAAACGAGACAAAAAAAGACGAAAAAAGTAGATAGGACAAAAAAATGTGACAAAACGGCAAACAAACTTTGTGTTTTTTTTTTAAAGAAGATGATGAAGAAGACGATAAAAACAGTGGGAAAATGTGACAAAAAAATAAAAAACTGAGACTACAAAAAAAGTAACAGAAAAATACGACAACCAAAGTTACAAAAAAACGCGACCAAAAAAATGCCGACAAAAAAGGTATAAAAAAAGAAAAAAAATAGATAAAAAAGGAACAAAAAAAACAAAAAAAAAAGTGATTGGAAAAAAACGACAAAAATCCACCAATAAAAGCGACAAAAAAGAAAATGAAAAAACGGCTAAAAAATAGGGAAAAATGCGACTAAAAAGTGCAACAAAGAAAGCGAACAAAAAGTTGACCAAAAGAAATAAGACAGCAAAAGTAACAAAAAACGAGGGCAAAAAAATAAATAATAAAAAAGCCGACAAAAAAGACATCAAGAAAACGGTTACAAAAAGTCCAGAAAAATGCGATCAAAAAGACGGAAAACAACGAATGAAAAAAGCAATAAAAGAAAAGGGACAGAAAAGAAACAGAAAAGATAGGATTTTTTGAGTTTTTTTTTTTTCATTTCTTGGGCTCTTGGATTTTTCAAATTCATTGATTTTGTTGGATTTTTTTTTTATTTGAATAATTTTAATCTTTGATTTTTGGGATTTTTTTAAATATTTTGGGTATTTTCGATTTTTGATACTTGCATTTCTTGGATTTTTTGAATTTTTTAGATCTTTGGAATTATTGGAATTCTTGAATTACTTGGATTTCTTGGAATTTGTTAAATTCTTTGATTTTCTGAATATTTTCGATTTTTTGGATGTCTTGGATTTTTTTAATTTTTTTGATTTTTCATTTTTTGCAATTACTGGATTTCTTGAGTTTTTTTTGGTTCTTGGATGAATTGGATTTCTTATATTTTTTGTTTTTTTGGATTTTTTTGAATTTTATGGATATTTTTAATTTTTCGATAAATGGATTTTTTGCATTTCTTGTATTTTTTTTAATTTTCCGATTTTTTTTTGGATTTTTTGTGTTTTTTTTTATCTCTTGAGGTTCTTGGATTTTTCAAATTCATTGGTTTTTTTGAATTTTTTCTTGATTTGAATATTTTCTAGTTTTTGGATAATTGAATTTCTTGCACTTCTTGAATTTTTTGATTTCTTCAGGTTTTAATTTTTTGGATTTTTTATATTTTTGGTTCTTGGGTTTCTTGAATTTTTTAAATTATTTGATTTTTTGAATTTTTTTAATATTCTCGTTTTTTTGGATGTTTTTTGTATTTTTAATATTTTCGATTTTTGGTAAATGAATATCTTGTATTTTTTTGATGCCTAGGGTTTTTTATTTCTAGGATTTTTTGAATTTTTTAGATTTTTCATTTTTTGGAATTACTGGATTTCTTGAGTTTTTTTAGGTTCTTAGGTGTCTTGGATTTCTTATATTTTTAGATTTTTTTTAATTTTATGGACATTTTTAATTTTTAGATAATTGGATTCTTGCATTTCTTGTATTTTTTTAATTTTCCGATTTTTTTTGGATTTTTTGAGTTTTTTTTTATTTCTTGCATTTCTTGAATTTTTCGATTTCTTCGGTTTTTAATTTTTTGGATTTTTTATATTTTTGGTTCTTGGGTTTCTTGGATTTTTTAAATTCTTTGATTTTATGCATATTTTTAATTTTTTTGGATAATTGGATTTCTTGAATTCCTTGAATTTCTTGAGGGCTTTTTGGGTTTTTTATATTTTTTAAATTAATTGATTTTTTAGATTTTTTCGAAATTTATAGATATTTTCGATTTTTTTGGATAACTGGATTTCTTGAATTATTAGGTTTTTTGAATTTTTTTGATTTGTTTGATTTTTTGAATTTTTAGATTTTTGGAATTACATATTGGATTTCTTGAGTTTCTTGAATTTAATGGGCTTTCTGGAATTTTTTGATTTTTGGAATTATTGGATTTCTTGAATTTTTTGTATCTTGGGTTTCTTGGAATCTCTAACTTCATAATTTTTTGAATTTTTTCAAATTTTATGGATATTTTCGATTTTTTTTGATAATTGGATTTCTTGAACCTCTTGGACTTTTTGGATTTTTTAGATCTTTAGAATTATTGGATTTCTTGAGTTACTTGGATTTCTTGGATTTTTTAAATACTTTAATTTTTTGAAATTGTTGAATATTTTCGATTTTTGGATAATTGAATTTCTTTCATTTCTTGTACTTTTTTTAATTTCCTGGGTTTGTTGGATTTTTTTCGATGTTTTGATTTCTTGAGTTTTTTTAGTTTCTTGGTTTTCTCGGATTTTTTAAATTGATTTTTTTGGCTTTTTTTTGAAATAATGGATATTTTCGATTTTATTGGATAATTGGAGTTTTTGGATAATTGAATTTCTTGCATCTCTTGAATTATTTGATTTCTTCGGTTTTTAATTTTTTAGATTTTTTATATTTTTGGTTCTTGGGTTTCTTGGATTTTTTAAATTCTTTGATTTTTTAGATTTTTTCGAAATTTATAAATATTTTCGATTTTTTGGATAAATGGATTATATTATTGGATTTCTTGAGTTTTTTTCTTTCTTTCTTGGTTTCTTGGAATTTTTAAATTAATAATTTTTTGGATTTTTTCAAATTTTATGAGTATTTTCGATTTTTTTAGATAACTGGATTTCTTGAATTATTGGGTTTTTTGAAAATTTTCGATTTTTTTTTAATATTGAATTTCTTGCATTTATTTCTTGGGTTTTTTGATTTTTTTTTTACATTTTACAATTACATATTGGATTTCTTGAGTTTTTTGAATTTATTGGGCTTTTTGGATTTCTTTAATTATTCAATTGCTTGGGTTTCTTGGATTTTTACTTCTCGAGCATAAGCGAAGGAAGTACTGTAATCGAGTCCATTGGACGATTTTTTTTTTTGGATTTTTTAAAATATTTTGGATATTTTCGATTTTGTTGGATACTTGCATTTATTGGATTTTTTGAATTTTCCGGATTTTTTTTTGGATTTTTTGGAGTTTTGATTTTTTCTTGATTTGAATATTTTAGTTCTAGTTGGCAGTACTACCTACTTGCTCTTTTAGACGCTTTTTTTGCCTTTTTTGCCGCAGTTTTTGTCATTCTTGCCGTAATTTTTGGTCATTTTTTAGTCGCTCATTTGGTACATTTTCGATTCTTTTGTATCGTCAATTTTTCCATTTTCTATTGCTTTTAGTTGACGTTTTGTTTATCGCCAGTTTTTTTAAATTTTTTGTCATATCTTTTGTCCTCTTTTTTTTGGTTGCGAATTTTTTTACTTTCTTTTTATCGCGATTTTTGTCACCCTCTTTTTGTCTCCCTTGTTTTCCCGCCTTTTTTTCTTTTTTTTAATTGCTTTTTTGCCACTTATTTTTGCATTTAATTAATGTTTTTAGTCGTTTTTCTTGCCGCATTTTTAAGTCCCTTTTTTTTGCTTTTTTGCCACATTTTTTGTTGTCTCTCTTTTTCCCCTTTTTGTTCTCTTTTTTAACGTGTTTTTTGTAGCTTTTTTATTACTTCTTTTCTCGTTTTTTGGTCATTTTCTTGTCACTTTTTTTGGTTACTTTTTTAATGAGATTTTTGACTCCCTCTTTAATTGTTCTTTGTTATTTTTTCCTTTTCCCCATTTTTTTATCTTTGTTTGTCGCCAGTTTTCCCTTCCTATTTTTTTTAACTTTTTTCACCTTTATGGTGTTTTTTCCCACCAATTTTTTTCAATTTTGCCGCATGTTTCCAACGCCAACTAAGTCACAAAAAAAAGAAAAAAAACGATAAAAAAGGGACAAAATTCAATTAAAAAAAAAATGGGACAAACACATGTAACAAAAAAAAAAAAGAAATTGCTAAATTTTGAGCAGATAACACTAAAACAAAGTAGTCTTTGGACCAGTAATGTATTTTGGGTTGCATAAGCCCGTGCACATGCGTACATTGTATAAGGCGCAAATGTCAAACGTATGTCGTTTCTCGTTTTTGCCATCAGAGTCCATTTTGTTTTCCATTTTCTGTTTCGATAGTTTTTTTTTTCTAAGTCGCAATGTATCCGACTACGTTCATAAATGAAATGAGGGAAATTGACAACGAATATCCCGATTTCTATAACCGTAAGCACTTGACAATGTTTTTTACATGCAAATGATCGTATTTTCGCTATGTTGAATTTATTTTAGCTCATCTACCAGATTTCGTGCGTTGCACTGGGCATAATGGCGAGAACGACCAGGAAAACTTAAAACAAACATTTAGGCGAATCTGCCCGAAATATTTTTATGTAAAAAATGTCAGCATTTGTAAAAGGATAAATAACAGTAAATGCCAGGCCAGAGTAACCTATGGAATGAAAGATGACAAGGATTTACCCCTAGAACCAGACCTAAAACACCATGTGAGTTTACTTCTTAAACATGCCCCATTAAACACCGTCCTTATGGGAGAACAAATATTGTTAGAATTACCTAAAAATGTGATAATCGTTTACGAAATTTATTGTGAGTGCCCATTGAAGGCTGCAGAACAAATGCAGTCTTTAATAAAACAGTTTCAAGATTTACAGGTAATTATTTCAAATCATAGGTATGCTCAATTAATATTATTTGAAATTCTAGGCTTAAAAGATTAACTACCTAATTACTTCAGATCAGGAATTCAGATGTATTTTTTTTTTTTTTTTGGTCAAAATAAAGCTTTTGCTCCTGGCGATTCAGCATTATTTGTCTCTTCAGTCAAGATATTTTTTGAATGTTTGTCAATATACCCATACTTTTCCATAATGTGCAATCTTTTATGATCTCTAGAAACTAACCATTTACTTACAGAAATCTTTATTAGTTATAAAGGAATCAACAAAGAAAAAAATAGTAACTAAAAAGAGACAATAAAAAGTAGACAAAAGACGATAAAAAAGGAATAAAAAAATTGGTCAAAGAAAGTCAATAAAAGGAGATTGGAAAAAAGCGACAAAAAATCCACGAATAAAAGCAATAAAACAAGAGATACCAGAAAAACGCCAACTAAATGTCACAAAAAAGATAATGAAAAAACGATAGTAATAGTAATATGTTTGTGTTACCATACAAAATATTTACACACGTCATAAAATAAAAAACCAGGGAAAAAATGCAACAAATAGCACCGACAAAGAAAGCAAAAAAATGAAAAGCGAAAAGTGACAAAAAAAGTCGTGAAAAAAATGGAAAAACGACACAAAAATCAAACTAAAAACTGACAAAAAAGACAATAAAGAAGAGAGTGACAAAAGGCTCCAAAAATGGGACAAGAAATGCAAGAACAAGTGGTAACAAAAGCAACAAAAAAAAAACAGAAAAAGAGCGCGAAAACACGGGAGACAAAAATAGCGATAAAAAGAAATTAAAAAAAATCGCAAAAAGTCAACCCAAAAAAAAGGACCTAAAGAAGTCAAAGGAGCTACAAAAAAGACGAAATGCGGCAAAAAAATGAAAAGTAGACGATAAAAAGGGGAGAATAAAACGACAAACACAGCAATTAAAATGGGAGTAAAAAATTCAATTACCTAAAAAAGGGAAAATATCCATCATTTCAAAAAAAGTCAAAAAACTCAAGAAATCAGAAGATCGAAAAAAAAACAAAAAACCCAGGAAATCAAAAAAGTACAAGAAATGAAGGAAATTCAATTATCCAAAAAATCGAAAACATTAAAAAAAATCACAGTATTTAAAAAAGCCAAGAAATCCAAGTAACTCAAGAAATCCATCAATTCTAAAGATCTAAAAAATCCAAAATGTGCAAGAGATTCAAGAAATCCAATTATCCAAAAAAATAAAAAATATCCATAAAATTTGAAAAAATTCAAAAAATTATGAATAGAGATTCCAAGAAACCCAAGAAACAAAAAATTCAAGAAATCCAATAATCCCAACAATTAAAAAAATTCAAAATAACAAAAAAAAATCAAAACCCCAAATAATCCAAAAAAATCCGGAAACAAGAAACCCAAGCAATTGAAAAATTAAAGAACTCCAATAATTCCAAAAATGAAAAAATCCCAAAAAGCCCAATAAATTCAAGAAACTCAAGAAATCCAATATGTACATAATTCCAAAAATCTAAAAGTTCAAAAAATCAAACAAATCAAAAAAATTCAAAAAACCGCAGAAATGAATGCAAGAAATTCAATTATAAAAAAAATCGAAAATTTTTAAAAACCAAAAAATTCAAGAAATCCAATTATCCAAAAAAATTGAAAATATCCATAAAATTTGAAAAAATCCAAAACATTATGAAGCCAGAGATTCCAAGAAACCCAAGAAACAAAAAATTCAGGAAATCCAATAATTCCAAAAAACCCAATAAATTCAAGAAACTCAAAAAAATCCAATATGTATATAATTCCAAAAAACTAAAAATTCAAAAAATCAAAAAAATTCAAAAAACCCAATAATTCAAGAAATTCAGTTATCCAAAAAAATCGAAAATATCCATAAAATTTGAAAAAAATCCAAAAAATAATGAATTTGAAAATTCCAAGAAATCCAAGAAAGAAAAAAAACTGAAGAAATCCAATAATTCCAAAAAAATCCGGAAAATAAAAAAATCCAAGAAATACAATAAATCCATTTATCCAGAAAATCGAAAATATCTATAAATTTCGAAAAAATCTAAAAATCAATTAATTTGAAAAATCCAAAAAATCCAAAAAGCCCTCAAAAATTCAAGACACCCAAGAACCTAAAAAAAACTCAAGAAATCCAGTAATCCAAAAAAAAGAAAAATCTAAAAAATTCAAAAAATCCTAGAAATAAAAAATCCAAAAGAATCCGAAAAAATCCAAGACATCAAAAAAATACAAGATATTCAATTATCCAAAAACCGAAAATATTAAAAATATTTAAAAAATCCAAAAAATCCAAAAAATCGAAAATATTCAAAAAATCAAAGAATTTAAAAAATTCAAGAAATCCAAGTAACTCAAGAAATCCAATAATTCCAAAGATCTAAAAAATCCAAAAAGTCCAAGAGATTCAAGCAATCCAATTATCAAAAAAATCGAAAATATCCATAAAATTTGAAAAAATCCAAAAAATTATGAATTTCAAGATTCCCAAGAATTTGGATTTCTTGAATTCCCAATTCCAAGAAACCCAAGAAACAAAAAATTCAAGAAATCCAATTATTCCAAAAATCTAAAAAATTCAAAATAACAAAAAAAATCAAAACCCAAAAAATCAAAAAAAATACAAGAAATGCAGGTATCCAAAAAAATTGAAAATACCCAAAATATTTAAAAAACCCAAAAAATCAAAGAATTTTAAAAAAGTGGCCATTCGTCCGATGGACTCGATTACAGTACTTCCTTGGCTGGGGAAGTAAAAATCGAAGAAACCCAAGCAATTGAAAAATTAAAGAAATCCAATAATTCCAAAAATCAAAAAATCCAAAAAGCCCAATAAATTCAACAAACTCAAGAAATCGAATTATCCAAAATAAAATAAAATATCCATAAATTCAAAATATCCAAGAAATCAAATAATTTAAAAAATCCAAGAAACCCAGGAGAAGGAAACTAAAAAAACTCAAGAAATCCAAGAATCTCAAAAATATAAAAAATTTAAAAAACGGAAGAAATAAAGCAAGGGGGGCAAAAATAGGAATAAAAAGAAAGTCAAATGCGACAAAAAAATAATAAAAGATGGAAAACTATCAAAAAATGACCAAAAACGAAAAAGCTAAAAAAGATGACCAAAATAACGATAAAAAACATGAAAATAAAAGCCCAAAAAAACGTTCCAAAAAGAACTAAAAAAACTTGATTAAAGTTATTACAGTAATTAAACTTCATAGTGTTTTCTATACATAATACATAATACTAACGGTTATCTCTACAAAAAAAAAAACACGAATATTTTACAATTTCTGGTCTAAATATCTGAAATAGCCATTTTTTTTATAAAAAATAAACAATAGTTCCAAAAACCTAATAAACCCAAAAAACCAAAAGAATTCAAAAACCCAGGAAATCAAAAAATAAAAAAAAAACGAAAAACCCAAGTAATAAAAAAATACAACACATGCAAAACAGTCAATTATCGAAAAATTACTATTAAAACTATTTAAAAAATTCAAAAAATCGAAGAATTAAAAAAAAGAACAAGAAATTAAGAAACCCAAAAAACTCAAGTAATCCAATAATTCCAAAAATCTAAAACATCCATGAAATTCAAGAAATCCATTTATACAAAAGGAAATCTAAAAATAAAATCGGAATTTAAAAAAAATCCAAAAAATATAAGAAACCCAAGACTCTCAAGAACATAAAAAAACTCAAGAAATCCAGTAATTCCAAAAAATGAAAAATCTAAAAAATTCAAAAAATCCAACAAATAAAAAATCCAAGTCATCAAAAAAATACAAGATATTCAATTATCCAAAAATCGAAAATATTAAAAACACTAAAAAAATCCAAAAAATCAAAAATATTCAAAAAATCCAAAAAAATCAAAGAATTTAAAAAATCCAAGAAATCCAAGTAACTCAAGGAATCCAATCCAAGATCTAAAAAATTCAAAATAACAAAAAAAATCAAAACCCCAAAAAAAAATCCGGAAAATATCCAAAATATTTAAAAAAATCCAAAAAATCTAAGAATTTTTAAAAAGTGACCATTCGTCCGATGGACTCGATTACAATACTTCCTTCGCTTACGCTCGAGCAGCAAAAATCCAAGAAACCCAAGCAACTGAAAAATTAAAGAAATCCAATAATTCCAAAAATCAAAAAAAAATCCAAAAAGCTCAATACATTCAAGAAACTCAAGAAATTCAAGAGACTAAAAAAACTTAAGAAATCCAATAATTTCAAAAATATAAAAAAAATAAAAAAAATAAAAAAACTGAAGAAATAAAACAAGGGGAACAAAAAAAGAACGCCCAAAATAGCAAAAAAAAGAAAGTCATAAAATTCGCAAAAAGTCAACCAAAAAAAAAAAAAACGACATAAAGAAGTCAAAGAAGCTACAAAAAAGACGGCAAAAACGGCAGAAAAAAAAGGACAACAAAAGAAAGAGGACAAAAAAGCGAAAGAAACAAGCGATAAACAAAACATCAACTAAAAGCAACAAAAAATGGAAAAAAGACGATAAAAAAGAATCGGAAATGTACCAAATGAGCGACAAAAAGACCAAAAATAACGACAGAAGTGACAAAAAATGAGGCAAAAAAGAGCGTTTAAAAAGGCAATGGAACAAAAAAAATTGGTTAAAAGAAGTCAGAAAAAAGAAACTGGAAAAAAGCCACAAAAAATCCACCAATAAAAGCAACAAAAAAAAGAGCTACCACAAAATCGCCAACTTAAAGTCATGAATAAATAATGAGAAAACGATAAAAAAGAGAAAAAAATGCAACAAATAACACCGACAAAGAAAGCAAAAAAGAGGATGACCAAAGTGACAAAAAAAGTCGTGAAAAAAATTGAAAAGCGACACAAAAATCAAAATAAAAAAGGGGACTTCAAAAAAAACGACAAAAAATGCTTCAACAATAGTGACGTTAAAAAACAACAGTTAAAAGCAATAATAAAGTAACGACAAAAAATAGACAAAAGAGAGGATAAAGAAGAGGGCGAAAAGTGACAAGAATGACAAAAAATCCGGCAAAAAAATGTCAAAAAAGACCACAAAAAAATGACCAAAAAAGTGCCCAAGAAAATGCCACTGAAAGCCAGGAAAAAAGATAGTAAAAAGACGACGAAAAAAGTCGAAAAATCCGGCAACAAAACTGAAAAAATCGACAAAAAATTGGCAAAAAAACCGACGTAAAGAACTCAAAGGAACTACAAAAAAAGGCAGAAAAAAAGGGCAACAAAAAAGAGGACAAAACATGTGACAAAAAAAACGAAAAAAATGGGCGATAAACAAAACGTCAACTAAAAGCAACAAAAAATAGAAAAAAAAACGTAAACAAAAAATTGATAAAAGAACCGCGATAGCAAAGGGCGGAAAACAAACAATAAGGGCAAAATTAGTGGCAAAAAGAAGGAGACAAAAAGACACCATAAAAGAGAGGATAAAAAAGGGACTTTAACAATCAAGACACTTTATTAACAATAAATAATACTCATACATATATTAGGGTGATTCAAAAAAAAATAATAATTTTTTTTTTCGTGCAAAGAGATTCAAAAGTTTCTTTTCAACGTAAAAAAATACCAGTTAAAATTTGAGCTGTTAATATTAATATTAAGACCGTCCGCATCGCGTTTTTCTATTTCCCATAAGAATAACATGGGAAAATTTTTTTTTGCACCTTCTGATTTTTATTGCTAGCCCGTCGTGTGTCGTGAAAAAAATTCAATCACATATTTTTATAGAGAATTGAACGCTCTACAAAAAGTGTCTCCTATGATTTTGCGAGAAACCTGATATTTGAAGAGTTATTTTAGGCTAAAGTTAAATTTATCGCAAATTTTGACGTTTTTGATGCATTACAATAAATTTGATGGTCTTATTGGAATAAATCACCACAAAAATTTATGCCCATTTTAACTTTAGTTTTATAAATAGTAATTGTTTATAATTTTATGCTATAATAAGGTCAGTGAAACTCTTTCCGAACATTTTTAGTATCAGTGGGTTAAAAAATCATAGTTTATTTCGTTTTTATATATATAATCCGTTACCCTCTTTTACCCATTGGGTGTCGAGGGGGGAGACGCACCGAGCCGCTCAGATAGGTATGGCGATCTTGGCCACCCATCCACAAAGTGACTGCGGGCAGCGTTGCTTCATGTGCATTATCGCTGTGCCGCGCTAGGGACTATCTGAGCCGTACTGCTCCCTTTTATTTCGTTTTTGTTTAACCTAAATTTTGGTTTTCAAACTATAATTGTTGATCATTTTTTGCATTTATCCAAACAAATCAACCAATTTCAAAAAATTTATTGTTATAAATTTCTACATTTATTTTATGAAAAAAAAAAACACTTTAAGTAAAGTGCCGCCGTTAATTGCTTTTCTATTTATCCAATAGTCTGTAAATATTTTAAAAGTAATCATTACTTATTTAAATTTTCAAAATTACAGGTGAGAAATTGTCTTATTATTGATTGGCCGATAAAGAAGAAATTCTTTTAGATTTTGTCGGTATTATAGCTACTTATTCTTACTATAAGTAGAGTTGTAGATAAAGAAAGTTTAGTTTGTTGACATGTATAAAAATTGATGTTTGTATTCCAATAAGACCATCAAATTTATTGTAATGCATCAAAAACGTCAAAATTTGCGATAAATTTAACTTTAGCCCACGGTGTATAATAAGTTAGGTGTTCCGACGAGCGCGTGAAACGTGTCCCCAACTAGTCACAGATTTGGAGTGAGAGAAACAGAAGAGGGCGGCCATCATTTAATCGCACTGACGGGAAAGAGACGGCAGAAGTATTTGTCGGAATTAAAGCCATTTAGGTCCAAAAATCATCAAAATGAATTATCCGTTGTATTAAAATAAAAACTTTAAACATTTTTAAAATAATAATTTATTTAAAAAGATGAATGTAAACTCGTTGTTAAAGATAGTTCTTTTCGTCTTCACATATTATATTAGTTTCACTCACTTCTGTTCGTTTCACAAGACAACTAAAAAATATCCATTAACCAATATCTGCTTTACTGTTTGAGAAATAAAAATTTACCATTATTACGTAGTCTGTAATCGAGACTCTTTTCTTTTTTCTGCACATGCCTTGGTTGTTTTCTCTTGTTCCTGTTTATAAAATTGTTTAATTTGCATAATTGTGTAAAAATATATTGCCTTTGAAAATATTTCCATTCTATGCTCTTCACAAGAAAAAGGAAAGTAAATAGTCATAAAAATTTTTGTTACGAATAGCTCTTCAATTGTTGCATCGAATACATCCACAAAATAGATATATTTCATAAGTATCCCTTCCACCATCGGAACATATTAAACATTAACAAATCTGGATGGTTTAACCACCCCCTGGATTTTGTACTAGTAAATTCAGATGTACTAGAACATGGATCCTCTTTGTTATATATTTAACTGTTCACGGCAAATATTACATTTTGAAGTATTGTACAATTTTTTGCGACAAATCCAGCTAAGTAATAAATGATGTCAACAATTTTAGTTGTAGTGACATCTTCAAATAGTTGTTCGTCTATTTTGTTAATCGGTGAATCTGTATCTAAATTCTTTTTCGGCTCTAACGTCTCGTGTCGTAAAATTTGTGATCTCCTCGTGTCGACAAGCACCAAACACTCCGACTATCAAAACAACCTGAAACTATATAAATTTGAGATTGTTTTTTATCAATATGAGTTGCAATTTACCTTCAAAAATAAGAAATCCTTATCATTCATTTTCTTAAGAAATTGATTTATCTCTTCTTTGGAACAAATAAACGATTTTCTGGGTCGGGAACCTTCTGATTTCCGAGAAGAAAGCCACAACCTGATGATATTCAGAAATATCAACATTCTTCGTAATCAACACCAGGGTTCGCAACATGGAATATCGGCACCATAAGGAGGATGGTTTTAACTTCTCTGCTTGTTCAGCAAAATAGGAATGCATCACCTTGTTCAGAAACGTCACCAATTTTCTTAACTTCCATTCATTCATCAAAATATTTGTACGCTATCTCGTAACGTTCTTTAGATTTACCAGGAACTAACGTATCGATGACAGATTGAGTAGCCACTTCAATATCGGAAGGCAAATTATCCTCTGAATCACTAATTTTTGCACATAAATTGCTTTCACTGAACGCTTGTGAAAAACGTAAACAAATCAGTAACTACGGTTACTAATTTAGCCGCCTTATTTTTTCTCCATAAACACAATTTAAAAAATTACAAAAACAGATTAGATAAAACGTTGTACAATATTTGTATCGTAATATTTCTTTACGATCCTTGATGGATTATCCAACTCGCCTTCGGCTCGTTGGACAATTTTTCCATCGCGTATCGTAAAATTCCACATTACGATACACATATCGTAAATATCTATTAATTTTCCTTTTTATTTTCTCAACATGATTTTTCCCGCATTCTGGTATTTGTTTCAAAAATATTTTTGGAGTAATTAAATGATAACGAATGATTTGCATACTATTTTCCTGCATCTGTGTGCAATTACCAAATTTCGGAGGTTTTAATAATTTATAAACCGATAACATTCGGTATAGCTGCAAAGAGTTGTAGATAAGGGATGTCCATTGGCACAACCTGCTTGTCGAATTGTGCCGAAAAATCTCTGCAATAAATATAGTTTATGTGGAATAAAGAAAAAATACATATCGCATTCAAAAACCCTCTGAAAATAAACATAAATGCTGTTCCTTGAATGTTAAACATAACACATAACCGATAAAAAGGAAGTTATTGTTTTAAGTAAAAATAAAATTCAACATAAAATGCCTACTATTACTATAGCGACGACCAGTATTTTTTAGTGCAAAGTGTTGTTCAAAAGCAGCAGTTCACTACTGCAATAAAAGTGCCATTCCAGTAATCTGTCTTTAGGTACCCGAAACACCGACACTTTTTCGGGATTACTATTGTATTCGCTAGAACAATTAGGCACAACACATTTTTTACCCATTTTTATTGATAAATCAAAAAACAAGTAAGAAATCGCATAGAAAACCTAGCAAAATCTGTCACACCTAGAGAGGGAAAAAGCCCGCCAAACGCTGCTAAACAGATCTAAGTGAGAGGTTACAGGCCGCCGCTGTCTGTCTCTCTCGACCGCTCATCGTGACTAAACCGGCGTCAAGTCGATGCACGGTGAATACGCTTCGTCGTAACACCTAACTTATTATACACCGTGCTTTAGCCTAAAATAACTCTTCAACTATCAGGTTTCTCGCAAAATCATAGGAGACACTTTTTGTAGAGCGTTCAATTCTCTATAAAAATATGTGATTGAATTTTTTTCACGACACACGACGGGCTAGCAATAAAAATCAGAAGGTGCAAAAAAAAATTTTCCCATGTTATTCTTATGGGAAATAGAAAAACGCGATGCGGACGGTCTTAATATTAATATTAAGAGCTCAAATTTTAACTGGTATTTTTTTACGTTGAAAAGAAACTTTTGAACCTCTTTGCACGAAAAAAAAAATTATTATTTTTTTTTGAATCACCCTACTGTATATAATATAAAAATAGAAAATACATAAAAAATCACCATTAAACCTTAACCCACCCCATCACGAATAATATTTCTCCACCTCATCCAACAACTTATCAAAATTATCCTCATCAACAACCACAAACCTCTTCGCCCCGCGACTAAAACAATAAATCTCCCCCGTATAAATATCGAACCACAACGCATGAATATGCAGCTGGTGCGTCTCCAGCCTCTTCTTCAAAAACCCGTAACTCGCTATATTCTGCAACTGCTGCAACGTATTAATCTGCGACAACTTGTCCTCCAGCGTGAATTTGTTCTCCGGATCAATGTACGCCACGAACTTCCTCATAGGCGTCTCAGCCTGAAAAATCAAAGGCTTGGAGTAGTCGGTGGCTGCCAGCTGCTGGAACTTCTCCAGACTGTTCAGGGCGTGGGTGCACAGCCAGGCGCGAAGCGGCGAAATCCGCCGGTTATCCTAGAAAATTTTCGTTGAAAGTAGCTGAAATAAATATGGGTTTGTGTTACTTGAGAGGCAAATTCGCTGTCTTGGAGTTGGTATAAGAGATTGATGGCTTTGCAGTCGCTGTGGCCGCACACTACGATGTGCCGGATGTCGTTGACCACACACCCTAGTTCCATAGCTGCGGGTTCGTTGGTGGTGAGCTCGTCCCAGAAGTGTTGGGAGTGAGGGATGACATTCCCGGCGTTACGAACTACAAATTACAAAATTTCCTCGACTTTGCACAAATTTTGGGTCATTTTACCTACAAACATGTCCCTCCCGTTGGTTTGGGTAAAAAAGGGGGACTTCAAAAAGCGACAAAAAATGCGAACACAAGCGTTAAACAACGGGCGATAAAAAAAATCAAATAAAAACAACAAAAATGGGAAAAGAAGATAAAAAAGAATCGAAAATGTGCCAAAAAGTGCCAAAAAATGCGGCAAAAAAAATAAAAGTAGACGATAAAAAGGGGAGAATAAAAAGACCCATAAAAAAAGAAAACGACAAACACAGCAATTAAAATGGGAGGGAAAAAATGCAGTTACCTAAAAAAGCGAAAATATCCAAAAAATGTAAAAAAAGAGTTAAAGAAGTCCAGTAATTCCAAAAACCCCAAGAAATTCAAGAAATCCAATTAGCCAAAAAAATCAAAGAATTTAAAAAATCAGAGAAAACGAATAAACTAAAAATACTCAAGAAATCAAAAGATCGAAAAAAATCCAAAAAACCCAGGAAATCGAAAAAAGGACAAGAAATGAAAGAAATTCAATTATCCAAAAAATCGAAGATATTAAAAAAATCACAGTATTTAAAAAATCCAAGAAATCCAAATAACAAAAAAAAAAAAATCAAAACCCCAAAAATCCAAGAAATGCAAGTATCTAAAAAACCGAAAATATCGAAAAAATTAAAAAAAATCCAAAAAATCAAAGAATTTTAAAAAAGTGCCCATTCATCCGATGGACTCGATTACAATACTTCCTTCGCTTACGCTCGTGAAGTAAAAATCCAAGAAACCCAAGCAATTGAAAAATTAAAGAAATCCAATAATTCCAAAAATCAAAAAATACAAAAAGAAATAGCTACAAAAAATTAAATTGTAAGAAAAAATCGAAAATTTTCAAAAAACCCAATAATTCAAGAAATCCAATTATCCAAAAAAATCGAAAATAACCATAAAATTCGAAAAAAATCCAAAAAATCAATGAAGTTGAAAAATCCAAGAAACCGAAGAACAAGAAATAATCTCAAAAAATCAAAAAAAAAAAAAATGCAAAAACCCACGAAATAAAAAAATACAAAATAAATCCGGAAAAATAAAAAAAAATACAAGAAATGTAAGAAATCCATTTATCTAAAAAAATTGAAAATATCCACAAAATTTAAAAAAATCCAAAAATCAACGAATTTAAAAAATCCAAGAAACCCAAGAACCTAAAAAACTCCAGAAATCCAGTACTTCCAAAAAATAAAATATTCAAAAAATGGAAAATCCAAAAAAATTTAAAGAACCCAAGAAACAGAAAATACAAGAAATTCAATTACCGAAAATGTGAAAAATATTCAAGAAATAAAAAATTCAAAAGAATCCGAAAAATTCCAAGACATCAAAAAAATACAAGATATTCAATTATCCAAAAATCGAAAATACGAGTTAACAATTTAAAAAAAAATCAAAAAATCGAAAATATTAAAAAAATCCAAAAAATCAAAGAATTTAAAAATCCAAGAAATTCAAGTAACTCAAGAAATCCAATAATTCCCAAGATCGAAAAAATTCAAAAAGACCCAGAAATTCAAGAAATCAAATTATCCAAAAAAATTGAAAAAATCTAAAAAATTATGAATTTAGAGATTCCAAGAAACCCAAAAAACAAAAAATTCAAGAAATCCAATAATTCCAACAATCTGAAAAATTCAAAATAACAAAAAAAAAATCAAAACCCCAAAAATTCAAAAAACCCAAAATAATCGAAAATATCCAAAATATATAAGAAAATCCAAAAAAATCAAAGAATTTTAAAAAAGTGGCCATTCGTCTGATGGACACGCTTACGCTCGAGAAGTAAAAATCCAAGAAACCCAAGCAATTGAAAAATTAAAGAAATCCAGTAATTCCAAAAATTAAAAAATCCCAAAAGCCAAATAAATTCGAGAAACTCAAGAAATAAAATATGTAATTCCAAAAATCTAAAAATTCAAAAAATCAAACAAATCAAAAAAATTCAAAAAACCCAATAATTCAAGAAATCCAGTTATCCAAAAAAATCGAAAATATCCATAAAATTTGAAAAAAATCCAAAAAATAATGAATGTAAAAATTCCAAGAAACCCAAGAAAGAAAAAAAAACTCAAGAAATCTAATAATTCCAAAAAAATCGGGAAAATTAAAAAAAAACCCAGAAATACAATAAATCCATTTATCCAAAAAATCGAAAATAACTAGAAATTGCGAAAAAATCTAAAAAATCAATTCATTTAAAAAATCTAAAAAATCGAAAAAGCCTTCAAGAAATTCAAGAAACTCAAGAACCAAAAATATAAAAAATCCAAAAAATTAAAAACCGAAGAAATCAAAAAAATTCAAGAAATGCAAGGAATTCAATTATCCAAAACTCGAAAATATTCAAATCAAGAAAAAATCCAAAAAAATCAATGAATTTGAAAAATCCAAGAACCCCAAGAAATAAAAAAACTAAAAAAATAAAAAACCCGGAAAATTAAAAAAAAAACAAGAAATGCAAGAAATCCAATTATCTAAAAATTAAAAATATCCATATAATTCAAAAAAATCCAAAAAATTAAAAATAATAAGAAATCCAAGACACTTAAAAAACTCAAGAAATCCAGTAATTCCAAAAAACGAAAAATCGAAAATATTCAAAAAATAAAAGAATTTAAAAAATCCAAAAAATCCAAGTACTCAAGATATCCAATAATTCTAAAGATCAAAAAAATCCAAAAAGTCCAACAGATTCAAGAAATCCCATTATCCAAAAAAATCCATAAAATTTGAAAAAATCCAAAAAATTATGAATTTAGAGATTCCAAGAAACCCAAGAAACAATAAATTCAAGAAATCCAATTATTCCAACAATCTAAAAAATTCAAAATAACAAAAAAAATCTAAGCCCCATAAAATCCAAAAAAATCCGGAAAATTAAAAAAATCGAAGGAATGCGAGTATCCAAAAAATCGAAATATCCAAAATATTTAAAAAAATCCATAAAATCAAAGAATTTTAAAAAAGTCCCCATTCGTCCGATGGTCTCGATTACAATACTTCCTTCGCTTACGCTCGAGAAGTAAAAATTCAAGAAATTGGAAAATTAAAGAAATCTAATAATTCCAAAAATCAAAAAATCCAAAAAGCCCAATAAATTCAAGAAACTCAAGAAATCGAATTATCCAAAATAAATTAAAATATCCATAAATTCAAAAAATCAAAGAAATCAAATAATTTAAAAAATCCAAGAAACCCAGGAGAAGGAAACAAAAAAAACTCAAGAAATCCAAGAATCTCAAAAATATAAAAAATTTAAAAAACGGAAGAAATAAAACAAGGGGGGCAAAAATAGGGATAAAAAGAAAGTCAAAAAATGCGACAAAAAAATAATAAAAGATGGAAAACTGTCAAAAAATCACCAAAAACGAAAAAGCTAAAAAAGATGACCAAAATAGCGATAAAAAACATAAAAATAAAAGCACAAAAAAACCTTCCAAAAAGAACTAAAAAAACTTGATTACAGTTATTACAGTAATTAAACTTCATAGTGTTTTCTATACATAATACATAATACTAATGGTTATCTCTACAAAAAAAAAAAACGAACATTTAACAATTTCCGGTCTAAATATCTGAAATAGCCATTTTTTTTTATAAAAAATAAACAATAGTTCCAAAAACCTAATAAACCCAAAAAACCAAAAGAATTCAAAAACCCAGGAAATCAAAAAATAAAAAAAACGAAAAACCCAAGGAATAAAAAAATACAACACGTGCAAAACATTCAATTATTATCCAAAAATTCGAAAATATTCAAACTATTTAAAAAATTCAAAAAATCGAAGAATTAAAAAAAAGAACAAGAAATTAAGAAACCCAAAAAACTCAAGTAATCCAATAATTCCAAAAATCTAAAACATCCACGAAATTCAAGAAATCCACTTATACAAAAAGAAATCTAAAAATAAAATCGGAAATAAAAAAAAAATACAAGAAATGCAAGAAATCCAATTATCTAAGAATTATAAATATCCATAAAATTCAAAAAAATCCAAAAAATCAAAAAATATAAGAAATCCAAGACACTCAAGAACATAAAAAAACTCAAGAAATCCAGTAATTCCAAAAAATGAAAAATCTAAAAAATTCAAAAAATCCAAGTCATCAAAAAAATACAAGATATTCAATTATCCAAAAATCAAAAATATTCAAAAAGTCCAAAAAAATCAAAGAATATAAAAAATTCAAGAAATCCAAGTATCTCAAGAAATCCAATAATTCCAAGGTCTAAAAAATTCAAAATAAAAAAAAAATCAAAGCCCCAAAAAATAAAAAAAAATCCGGAAAATATCCAAAATATTTAAAAAAATCCGAAAAATCAAAGAATTTTAAAAAAGTGGCCATTCGTCCGATGGGCTCGATTGCAATACTTCCTTCGGTTACGCTCGAGCAGCAAAAATCCAAGAAACCCAAGCAACTGAAAAATTAAAGAAATCCAATAATTCCAAAAATCAAAAAAAAATCCAAAAAGCTCAATACATTCAAGAAACTCAAGAAATCCAAGAGACTAAAAACTAACCGTTTGTACTGTTGTGCAATAAACTTATCTATCTAAAGAAACTTAAGAAATCCAATAATTTCAAAAATATAAAAAATCCAAAAAATTAAAAAAACTGAAGAAATAAAACAAGGGGGACAAAAAAAGAACGCCTAAAATAGCAATAAAAAGAAAGTCATAAAATTCACAAAAAGTCAACCAAAAAAAACAAAAACGACATAAAGAAGTCAAAGAAGCTACAAAAAAGACGGCAAAAACGGCAGAAAAAAAAGAACAACAAAAGAAAGAGGACAAAAAAGGGAAAGAAACAAGCGATAAACAAAACGTCAACTAAAAGCAACAAAAAATGGAAAAAAGACGATAAAAAAGAATCGAAAATGTACCAAATGAGCGACAAAAAAGACCAAAAATAACGACAAAAGTGACAAAAAATGAGGCAAAAAAGAGCGTTTAAAAAAGCAATGGAACAAAAAAAAATGGTCAAAAGAAGTTAGAAAAAAGAGACT